TTAGGTTATACACACAGTTGTTGTTTCGTGCATGGGGACATGCACGACGTCAGGATGGTCGAGTGTTAGGTTTTAAAATTATATTAGTATTATTTTAGTCGATTATCGATTATTTGTAAGTTGAATGGTGACTTGGTCATCACTATTCCAAAACGAAAGTGACTTGGGGGTATTTCGGTGAAGGATTCGGCCTATTTGCTCGGGCTCAGCATCGAGGACGGACGCATAGTACGGTGTACCAAGGTAATTAATATTATATTATACAACAATCAATACGAGTTTTATTATATATGTATGTACTCTTACCCGTTATACTTGAATCCATCACAATTTTTTTCACAACACACTCCAAAATAACAATATTCACTTTTAAAATAGTAGTTTTGTAAGAAATGTCTAAAAGCAATACGTACACTTAGAGCGACGATCAAGTTTAGACTGGCACACCTAGACGCGCGCTCCGAGTGGGACCGCGGGTTGGGTCGCCCATTGTTCTACGGGTTTTTACCAGTCTCAGGTAGTCGTTTTTTTTACCTGAGACAAATTTTAAGAATTGTATTTTTGGCCGCCTAAATAGTAGAATTGCCCCTCCGTGCGTCGGTCACAATACAAGAACACTTACGAAATCCTCCATATTCTACAATAGTTTTGTTAACTGCTTCAAATATATCACTGCCTTTAGTTGTTCCATGAAATGGTATTAAATCCAGCATTTCTTCCGTGATTGTAAAATCTTTGGAAATGCAACGTATGAAGATTATTAATTGACTGACATCGGTCTGGTCGGTACTTTCATCCAAACATATTGAATAATATTCGCAATCTACAAAGTAATCACATAAACTTTTCGTAATATAATTACCCATGTCCTCTATTCGTCGCGCCACCGTTTGGTGAGATAATGCAACAGATTCAAAATTTTCCGCTAATTTCGGCTGCATAAAGCGTTTAGCCATTTCAACTGCGCATTTTTTTATTAAAGCTCCATCACTAAATGGTTTTTTAGCTCTGGCTAATTGTAATGAAACTTCATATGAAGCAGCCAAGCTTTGTTCATTTTCAGTACTTACTTTTAAAAACATAATTGTTTGCTGTATTAGTTTTTTTTTTGTACTCAGCCACCATAACTTTTCTTGCTTCACCGACATGTTTTTTATACTTTTCTTCATGTAAAGAAGTATAGTGTCGCTTAACATTATATTCTTTACTTACAGATAAAACTTGCATACAAATCAAACACTGAATTTTATTGTTATTGTTGGAAATAAAGTAGTCTAACTCCCATTTCTCATTGAATGAACGTTTTTCTTCACTTAACTTCCTCTTCTTTGTAGACATGATGAGGTTAAAAGTTTTTTATACGCAAACACAAAGCGAACAAACTTTAAAATAATGTTAAAGTCTTTAACCTGAGAATAACCTTGCGTAATCAAGACTTTCGTCGCGTTGAATGACAAGTGACAAACAAATGCCCAATGAACGATGCGCGGTAGTAGGTACACGTACCGCCTGCCGGTACCGGCAGGCAGGCGTTGAAGTGGCTCCGACGTACTCGCTGGCAGGCGCAGACAACGGCCGGCCGACTAGGAAATGGGCAGGTGTTAGTGGTACTGGTAAGTAGTCATTAGGATCTGTGGAAATTGGTGAAATCGGACGGGAGTTCATGACGGCCTGAGTCAATACCGTACTAAACTCCTCATATGTTAGCCTGACATTACCTACAATACGTCGCAGGTGGTACTTGCACGACTTCACACCTGCCTCCCATAAACCACCAAAATGAGGAGCGTATGGGGGAATAAAACTAAATTTTATATGATTGCTGGAAGCGAAATCAATATTATCGTTGGAATTTTTAAATACAGCCGAAAATTCCTTCTCTGCTCCAACGAAATTCTTACCGTTGTCAGAAAAGACTTGACACGGTTTATCGCGTCGAGAAATAAGTCGTTTGAATGCCAGTATATCGCACCTTCGGTAGTACAAGGGCAAAATTGTTGCGTACCCAACTTTACAGGAGAGCCATTTAAAGTTTTTTTTTTGTATTCAAAATGGTTTTACTCTGTTTTATATTGCCTTAAAGTTATTATCTTTTTTATAAAATATAGTACATATTATAGGTGTTCTTGGCATCATGTTAGCAAGAATTAAAAACGTTTAGTTTTTTTTTAATCAATATAGTTTTCAAGCAGGGGATACAATTGTGCCCTTGTCGTGTTATACTATAAATTACTTTGTAGTTACGACCTAATTCGAGCTTTCATTTTGGTTTATTTTAAAATGAAAACAACTTATTTTTTTGCAATAATTTTGTATATTTGTCAGTAAAAAAACGTAAGGATAAAAATCTATATGAATATATATATAAATCGCGAAGGACTTCTTGCGTCTTTACAAACTACCACCCTGCGGCGTCCACTGAATGTAGTGAGATTTTTAATGTTTTCAATACGTATGTAAGATGTTTTAGTCAGTATCATATCAGTAGTCGACGTCAAATTTCATTTAAACGTTAAATGGTATTATTCAAATTAAATATTTCTAGCTGAATTTGTGCGTCCGTTCATTCTTAATTCTTTCTTGCACACTGAATACCTGCGTATACATAATAAACACTGCCAGCACATTCCTGTTTCCATCCGAATGTATGTTTAAATCAAAACCGTATAATGTTTTGCATATAACATAATGATTATAATAACTATATTACTTCTATCTACTTTCGAATTCAGATTGGTTCCGAATAACTGAATTAGTGCGTCCGTTCACTCTTAAATCTTTCTTGCACACTGAATATCTCCGTATACGTTCAAAACACTGCTAGCACATTCCCGCCTCCATTCAACTGTATGTTTAAATCAATTCCGTATAATGCTCTGCATATATCATAATGATTATAATAACTAAATGACATCCATCTACTATTGAATTCAGATTGGTTCCGAATACTGTTTTTGAATTATTGTATCCAGCTTATCAGCCAAGAGGCTTCCACCACCTAAGGGCTTATATTGACTCCAGGATCAGATAATAAATAATAATTAATAGTTAAGCGCAATAGGTACAGACGGCTAAGATGCTATAAAATTTTATACTAATACTAGCTTCCGCCCGCGAATTTCGTTCCGCGTGGACTATGTTTTATATCGCGCACAACTATTTTTCGCAATAAATATTGTCTGTGCCAAATTTCATCAAAATCGGTTGAGAGGTTTAAGCGGGAAAGCGTAACAGACAGACAGAGTTACTTTCGCATTTATAATATTAGTAGGGATATAAAATATTAATGTGAAATATTATCGCATCTTAGCCGTCTTTATTGCGCTTTATCCTTTATCATACAAAAGTGACAATACAGACAAAATCTTAAAAGTCATTTTTGACGAGTGACAGGGAAGTTTTTAACCGACTTCAAAAAAGGAGGAGGTTATACGTTCGGCCGGTATGTTGCTTTTTTAGCTTCCTATGTATAACCTATGTATAAACAGGTAAGCTCAGAGGCACAGGCTGGTATGAACAGGTAGGTCCGGAGTTGTACAGGTAAGTATGTATAAACAGGTAAGCTCAGAGGCACAGGCTGGTGTGAACAGGTAGGTCCGGAGTTGAACAGGTAAGTATGTATAAACAGGTAAGCTCAGAGGCACAGGCTGGTGTGAACAGGTAGGTCCGGAGTTGTACAGGTAGGTATGTATAAACAGGTAAGCTCAGAGGCACAGGCTGGTGTGAACAGGTAGGTCCGGAGTTGTACAGGTAAGTATGTATAAACAGGTAAGCTCAGAGGCACAGGCTGGTGTGAACAGGTAGGTCCGGAGTTGAACAGGTAAGTATGTATAAACAGGTAAGCTCAGAGGCACAGGCTGGTGTGAATAGGTAAGTCAGGACTGACTGGAGTTGAACAGGTAAGTATCTAATGTAGGTATAAACAGGTAAGCTCAGAGGTACATGTTGATGTGTACAGGTAAGTTCGGAAATGGATAGGTAGGTGTATAAACAGGTAAGCTCAGATGCACAGGCTGGTGTGAACATGTAGGTTCAAAGGTAGAAAGAGGAAGTATCATGATACGAATAATATAATAGTAGTCATATTTATGCAGGTCTATATACGGAATAAAAGGCATATCGTAATATAAAACATTTAATGTTTAATTTTTACAAAAAATGTGTAGGAATCTAAACTTAAAAACTTTTCAATCAACAAATTTATGCAATTTAATATTGACATAACAATAAACATAAATTTGCTCTGCCTTGCCTATTAACGAAATAAACTGAATTATGAACATCAGTCTTCATTACAATGGAACACATATTTTTAAATATTATAATTAAAATAAATCAGTAGGGGTTTTATCAAGCCAATGTTGTCATTCTTATTTAAAATATATACTTAAAAGAAATGTAAAATTAGGTTTCTTTCTCAAATTAAAATTTTGTAAAAAAACGGGTAGGTTTCTAAACATAAAAATAAAAACATTTTAACAATTTTAGTTACTTCTACTAAATAATTAAACATAAATAGGCTCTGCCTTTGCCTTATAACAAAATAAACTTAATTTGAAAATCAATCAGTCTTCATTACAATAGAAAATTTATTTCTATATTATAATTAAAATAATCAGTGGTTACAAGGTTACAACTAAAAGTCTCATGCCCGGTTTCTGAGGTGCTATTAGATATCTCTTCATTAATTTTTAAATCGATAGACAGACAACCTTTCAATTCTTTATTAAGTCCTTTGTTTAAAAATGCTTTTTAAGGCATATAAAAGCAAGGCTTATGTTATTGCAGTTATGTCAGTAAAATCGTTTTTAAACAAAGTTTAATGACAGCTAAGTATTACATAAAGTTATGGAATAAAATAAACAGCGGATAAGGACCTCAGAAACCGGGTATTAATCATCAATTCAAACATAATTATAATTATCTTAATCATTGGTATGCATTAACAAATTAAAAATATTTTAAACAAAACATACTATTTAAAGAAATATTTTTTTCTCTCATTTCTTAGCCTTAGAGTAAATATTTTGTACGAATACCTTTATTTTTAGCCAGTCTTTATTCTTAAGTAAATCTACATGTTGTTCTTTTAGTTTCTCACATTCATTTCTTTTAGGCGGTTGATGATTTTTTATGTGAAATTTAAAGTATTTTGTAACTACGTCCTTTTGTTCCTTTGTCCAAGGTACCAACGTCCTCTTTTTTCCTTTTCGTATTTTGTTACCTAGTTGAGACACGGGTTCATTAATAAGTTGTCGAGAATCATTTTGCATACCAGATGGTCCAGCCTGAGATAAATCATTTAAATTACAATATGTCTGTACGTAATCAGAATTAGCATCTAAAGTAGGTTCAGGATCATAGTCTATAATTTCGTTGTTGTCCACGGGCTCTTCAGTTAGCTCCTCATTCAAATCTAAATCAATCTCTTCGAGAGATTTTCCTTTGTAAGCGTCTGCCTTTCCATCTTCCATAAGAATGAGAAGCTTTGATATCTTAGCAGTTTGGTATACGTCATCTGGCAACCTGTAAGACTTTTTATGTACTTCATTAGTATGGCCCATGAATGTGGCCAGCTGCTCCATATCATTTTCAGACATGCTAAAAATTTGTGATAAGGTGGCTAAATGTTTTCTTAACCTTGTAGAGGATATTGCTTTAGGCTGTTTCGCCCCTGATAATTTGGCATGCTTTTCCAAAACTTTGTAGCCATAAATTGTATTGTCATAGCCGGGATTACCAAACAAAAATTGATTTGGTGTCGAAGCAAAAAAAATATGCCTAATCGATAATAATAGTTTAATATCATCTTGAACTTCTTTATTAAACAGAACTGGTACTCCGCGGCCGCGTTTACCTCTAATGACAACACGTTTAAATGTCTTTACCAGAATCCTTTCTGACGCAGTGAGCGCACGATCAAACTCTTCATACTTATTATTATCATGATTCTCGCTTTCTAAATAATCGTGCACTGTAATTCTTTGAAGTTCTCCAGGTCTGCGTCTATTTAATAATAGAATCCTACAATACACAGTCTCTAAAAGTTGTGTATATGTTTCAGTAGTTTGTAAGCCTTCTTTAATTTTTGCAGCAGCATCCAAGGATTTTTTATTTAGATATTCTTTAAGAATTTTTAAATCATTTGCTAAAGGCACAATAGTTATCTTATTCCACTTTTTCTTGTTTAAATCTGTTGCAGCTTGTGTAGACACATCATATTTCCAATTTGATTCAATAAGTTGAATCAAAGTTTTTAAGTCTGCTTCTATTTTGCCAGTATCTACTTCCATGTAAGGCCCTTGCTTTTTTAATGCACACATTATTGCAATATTGCAGCATTGTTTCAAGGTGGTGGACAGATTCATTGCGAACGTAGGTGTCTCATACCTATCTTTTTCTATGTCATAATTTCCTAGTATTTTGGTTGCTTGTACAATGATATCATAATGAATTGGTCTTAAGGCAGAAAAGAAGTCATTAATGGATGGATCAATCTTTTTTAATTCTAGTAATAATTTTGCAAGCTCTCTCATTTTTCTAGACACTACGTTAACGAAATGTTTTTCTCGGTGAGTTTTCAAATATTGAGAACCATAAGCACATATAAGGCTATCTTTTTTTGCAATAAGTGATATCTTGTCTGCCCGCATTCGGGGAAATACAGTTTCCTTAAGTTTTTCGTCGATTTTAAGATGACGTATCAGTAGATTTTGGGCCTCTGATTGAATGTTTTTACTTCCTGATTTACCACTACATTTCTTTTTATGTTTCCACAACAGTTTTTTAGAATAAAATCCCAGACACTCTGTACACGGCAAATAATCAGTAAATTTTAATTTTCGCATCGGTTTAGTGACCTCTTTTGAATTTACAAGGTAGTTTCCTTTTTTACGTAGAGCTGTAATTAACTGTTTTCTATCAAGACTTTTTTTAGGTTTTGACACAATTTTTTGGACTTCAGTTTCATAAATATGATGTCGGAGTAAATGACGAGCAAAATTTAAAACAAATGACTCACAGTAAAAGCAATAATCTTTGTCTCGAACATTTGAAATTTTGGGTTTTTGCCTTTGAATAATTGTTGTTGTACTATCATTAGAATTATCTTCTATTTGAGATTCACTATTAATATCGTAAATAATCTCTTCATTTGGTTTTGATTCAGGCTGTGGAAATTCCCTACTTACATTGCAAGGAGAACTGCTTTTACAATTAACTTCACTTAAACTTATGTTATTAGGTAGCTTGAAAGATACATTAGACAAGGAATTATTAACCTCGAGAGGAATTGCTTGATTGAGTACAAATTCATCTGCTTTATAAGGTTGAAAAAGTTTCCTTTCTACAAATACACTACATGGCGAACCGCTTATGTGACTAATTTCGCTATAATTAAGATTAATAGGCTTCGTGACCGTCGAATCGAAGTTCGAAACACATTCCAATGGCGTTAAATCATTCGAAGTTCTATATTCATTGCGAAGAGAATCATCAGAACTGGTCTGCAACAAAAAAAGCTTATTATACTTTGTTGCACTTTACTATTGTTGCTTCGTTGATATGAAGGTAACAACTTGATTAGTGACATAAGTGTTGTCTATCCCTTGCTGAACATCATAATTACCTATCCCCGATCTGAATCCTGAATTGGCGCTCGCAGATACACACTTACGGCCGTGACGTAAGCTTGTCACCAAAGTGAATTAATTGCAAAATTGCAAGGTGGTTATTTATTTGGTCTATTATTATAGTTAGTGATTATAATAATTATATGAATCACAATGAAAAGAAGTGCAAGGATTCTTAAATTGGCAAACCGTAAGTACTTACTTTTTATTCCTTAAATGAAAATGATAACACGATTTACCTAATATAATACCTATAACATCTAGCTAGTAAGTACCTACTTACATTTAAACTGTCGGACACCAAGCGGTCACCGGTGACCGCAACCTATTGTTATATACCTATAATTGTGTCTATAATGACGGTGCTCGACGAGTTAAACATTGTTATCTGTTTATAACATTATGATGATCTTAGTTTGCGTTAAACTGTCTGTGAGTGAACGTGTGTAGTCTGCAAAAATGGTTGTTGTGATTGATGTGGATAGTTTTTTTAAAAGAAATGATTTTATACATTTTTATAAAGCTAAACTAGAATGGCCATGGGATTCAACGCATTTCATTTTGCAAAATTGGTGCATACATTGTGATACGAATATTAATATTACTAATTCAGTAGTTAAACACTTTGTACTACCCATGAATTTCGATGACTTTAAAGGGCTTTATAACTCTTCTTTCATGTGGTGTAAATTTTGCGAATATGCCATTTATGATCATTTTCCAGAAGACGAATGTTTTTGTAATAACCAGTAATAATCAAAAGTAAGTAGGTACATGCTTCTATATTACTTAACTACCTATTTGATTCTTATTTCGTAATATCGTCGTACTTCGTAGGTATTAATACCTATATAATAAACGCGAAAGTTTGTATGCACTCACGGCTGTTATCTCAGAAAGTAGCCAGAGGCTTTTTTGCGACTTCACACAGTTCTAAGGGCGAGTGCGTTAGCCACTGCACCTCGGAAGTTTAGGTATGGTGTTTGTGAGTATGGATGGATGGATGCTTGTTACTCTTTCACCAAAAATGGCTGAAAGGATTTGGATGAAAGGTATGGAGTTACATTACATCAGACAACGTCATTACAGTTAGGTATATAAAATCTTTTTAATCCCTCACGCAAAAAGAGAGGTGTTATAAATTTGACGTGTTTGTGTGTAAGTATATGCGTGAGTGCGTATCGAGTGTGTCTTTACTTTTTATAGGTTTTCTTGTTTTTGTTAGCTTTTGGGTCGAGGGTATTTAATTTTTTATTGTTTTATAATAATACAAATATATCTGTTTGGTTTTCAGAGAGACAGGAAGAAAAAGAAAACCAACCAGAAACATTAAATGAGGTACGTATGTTTTAACTTAGATAAAACACGACTTACGTACACATTTGTTAAACATACTTACCTGTTCAACTCCGGACCTACCTGTTCACACCAGCCTGTGCCTCTGAGCTTACCTGTTTATACATACTTACCTGTACAACTCCGGACCTACCTGTTCACACCAGCCTGTGCCTCTGAGCTTACCTGTTTATACATACTTACCTGTACAACTCCGGACCTACCTGTTCTGGGCATTCTCCCACTGTGTGTTCCACCGTGTCCTCAGGGCGGTCCTCGCAGTGATGACACCCGGGCGTTTCCTCCCGCCCCATCAGACACAGGTACCTCCCGAAACTTCCATGTCCGGCGAGGACCTGCGTCAGGCGGTAGGTGAGGACGCCGTAGCGTCTCTCAAGCCACTCCTCAAAGAGGGGACTTACCGCTGCAATGGCAGCGAGCCCAAACTCCGGACCTACCTGTTCACACCAGCCTGTGCCTCTGAGCTTACCTGTTTATACATACATACCTGTTCAACTCCGGACCTTTTTTTTTTTAAGGGGGGAAAAAGCATCGAATGACTGCTCTTGCCTGGGTGAGGCGGAAGGGAGTGTCAGAAGGGAAAATATCTGTCGGAAGGGAAAATATCTGAAATTGGCCTAGATTGAACCAAATTTGGTCAAAATTGACTTTAACGAAATGATAGCTAGTGCTACAAATGACCCCCTTTGAGGGTTAATTGTACCAAAATTACATTGGGTAATAAAACGCAAATAAAGGTATTAATCACATTTTCTCAGTCATTTATTTGAAGTCTCATAGGTTTATAATCATACATAAAAAATAGGAACAAAAAAATCGTGAGATCGGTATTTGAAATAAACACAAATGTAAAGTTATAACATATCAATTCTTCGTCTATAACAAAAATAAAATAAGTTTTTAAAAACATATAATCAACTTTGGTTCACCAGATGCACATTTGCTATTATCTAGCTTAATAACAATGTTAAAATAGAAATAATCAACAAAATTATTTTACTATGGAGGTACAATTGACCCCTGGTACTATTGACCCCCATAGAACATTAGATATTAAAAAAATTAAAAAAGTATGTTAATCAGATTCGCAATTATGACATATATAAATCGACTCCTGAGGTGTGCATTCTTCGTGTGCCCATAATCGGCATTGAGTGCATTGAACCCACATTTCGTTAGGGCGACTAGTGCTATAAGGTTCCATACATACAACACAAAAACATTCTTCTTCTTCTTCACTAGTTTCAGACTCAATTTTTTCTGTAGTTTTCTTTTTTTGCCTGGAATCACGTTTTACCCCTTTAGATTTACCTGGGCAATTTAGATTTTTTTTTAATTTGTTTAGCTTTCTTTCTTTTTTCGGCTTCCTCAGCTTCTTTTTGTATAGCATCTTTTTCTGGGGTGTCAGTGTATATAGCCGTTTGTCGTTTTTTTCTTCCGCGATTGGTGGTTTTGCGCGGAGGTGCCTTGGGCAGAGGTCGAACTGATTCAGGAGAAAAAATGGAGGGTTTGGTTCCATTTGATGTAGATGGTTTGGGGTCGAGTACGGATGTTGAGTGGGGAGAAATATTTGTAATTTCACGTAGTGGTGTGCTTGCACGTATTTCCATAGGTTCATTATCTGATGTATTTAGTTGAGATTCCTGTCCTATATCCAAAGGGTCAAATAATACCAAATTGTCTCCAGGTATGATTTCTGGCACTAAAGAAACTGTTTCTGAAGATGGACTTGGTGTGGCACGGATCTCTTTTGGCGTTTCTTGTTCTTCATGTGGAGATGAAGTTTGTTGAATTACAGGCTCAAGGTTTGACTCGACGGTATTACTCTGTACTCCAGATTCGGGAGAAGGCTCTTGGATGCTATTAACAGCCGGCATAGGTCGATCTGTCACATATGAAGGGCCAAAATCGGTATCATCAAATATATCTCGGTTGTAGGGGCAGATTCCTGTGCAACGAAATCCCGATTGAATGTTTCGAGGGGTAAAAGCAAGAGGAAATGAAGTGGCAACAATTGATGGAATATGGTAAATAGTCATGGTTTGACCCGGATTGTTCCTCATCCATGCATCACAAGCGGTATTTACATGCTTTTTCAGAGGACCATATACAGAGCGATCCAGTGGCTGCAACTTATGCGAGCAGTGCGGTGGAAACGATAAAACGATGATGCCATTTTCTTTACAAAAGTCTAAGGCTCTTTTCATTCTGCAGCGTGTCGCCGGTCGCGTGCAGCGCTGCCGGTCAGGTTGAGCATTTCACAGTTTTGCGTGTGCAGTCGACCGGGCTGGACGTGTACAGTCATGGACACAATTAATAAAAAAAAACTTATTTTG